GGTGCTTGACCGGGTCCGAGCTCACTACACTCCCTGCTTGGCCCTCCCGAACAGATGCCTGCCTTGGCACAGCACGGGGACGCGCACGAGGGCCGTGGAAAGCGGAGTTCCGGGATGTTGGTTTTGGTGCCGCGGGGGCCTCCAAAAGCCGTGGAAACTGAGTGTCATAACACGTGAACGCCAAGGGTGTCTGCACCAAAACAAACCTTCTCCGGTTCCGTTCTCCATGCCCGGCTTGGCAGCTCCCCTGCCCGTGTCAGCGTGAGCCGTTCTCCTTTGCCGTTGGCAGCCCGTCAGACCCCAGTCCTATCCGTGCAGGCTGTCCACACGGAGCGAGGGTGCCCGCTGGAGCGAGCTTTGTTCCTCCTAGATCAGTGTGGGCACAGGCTGAGGAATTCTCACCAATTCTGCTGGTAGATGCCACTAAACTGTTTTGTATCAAAAAATTGTACCTTTTTGTGAATACTCTTGGTGTAAATAAATCCAAAGACACTACTCATATTTTTAGCACTTGTATTATAATTTGTAAGGTTTTATGCTGGATTCCGCATGCCTATAAATACTTAGAGAATTATAGCAACAGGGCTTGTTTTTCTTTCCCAAAAAGAGCGGTCTTCATAAAGACAGACTCCTTATTGGCTCAGCTGGTCATAACAAAATGCTCACACTGATCATGAAATGGAACAGATTTTTGTGCAAATTAACATAGTTTACTATTTATTGATTTTGTAAATGGAATAAAATGGACTTTTATGTAAATAGACTGCTGAACCTTATCACGGCTACTAAAAATTAGTCTGTAAAGAATGCATCCTTCATTGTAAACTTTAGAGTATTTTATGTATTTGTAGATGACAAATTTGTTTTCATGTTGTGAAAACTGCATATTTCATAATTGGTTCATACTAGTCACCTATCCTCCACTGTATCTAATTACCTTATAACAGTATTCATTTAGATAGCTTGTTTGTACTGTGCAATTTGAACAAGGAATGCAATGTTATTTTTTACAAAAACTTATTTTTGTAACAACATATTTGATATGGACCAAATTCGTACCACTATGTTTAAAAAAAAAAAAGCCTCTTCTCACAGTGCAATTCCAGTTCAGAAACAAGGCCTGGTCCTCTCGCTGCCCTGGAAAGGAAATACCCGGATTCAGTTCTTAGCCCGTTTCCTTTGAAGGGAATTGAAACTATCTTGAATTGTTTGGTTCATAATTCATCAAACTCTTCAAAATTACTGATTTGGGGGAATTGACTGTCATTTACTTTTTACATTAGAAGTGCAATAATTTCACACCATAAAACTCCTAATGGATCAAATATGGTCTTATTGGTACCTGGTCCTTCTGGTGCTACTGTTACTTAAGTCAGCTTCAAACCACCTTTCCCTGAATGGCTGGAAGGTCAGTGTTTCCTGAATGAGTCCAGGCAGCCCAGCCAGAAAATAAACTGACCTCTCTTCTCCTGCCCCGGTCCGTCAGAGGGAACCAGCATCACTGTCGTTTGCTGCAGATCCTCATTTAGTAACAGCTGCACACAGCTGGCTAGCTCACACCATGCTGCCGCCGAGGTCACCCTGCGAGCAGCGCCCACAGGGTGACTCCTGCGGTGGAGGCCGTGAGCGAGTCCCTTCCTCTGTGAAATGTTGGCTTTCAACTAATAAATAGGCCACAAGGGAAGAAAATTGGTAAGTTTACATGTTCTATTTATTAGATACTTTGAATTCTTTGAAAAACTCATTTTTACCATGTTGTTTGGTTCACATCAATTGTTTTAAGCCATCATTTTAACCAAGGAACTTAAATATTACTATAACTATTTGAATTTTAGTGCATTCATGTCAATTATTTGTTGATACCAAAAGAAATCATCTAAGGGGAGAGTCAACATTTGCTTGTAATTAAATTTGTTGCTACTTCTGTAATTTGTATTTTTTTTAATAAGGGCAATAAAAATGATTGCACAAACTTCTGTTTATTTGTTATCAGGCAACAGCAAAAATATGTATTGAAAGCCACTTTTTGTAATTTTACCTTTTTAAATTTTCCTTATGTTGCAACTCGAAATTCAGAGATTTAAAATTCTTATTCTATGTAGATATGTAATGGGAGAATCAGAGTTGGCAATGTTAAATGTTAACTGCTTTCCCGGGCCACAAGCAGGGAGCTGGAGCTGCCGGGATTAGAACCGGCCATCCCGGGCGTGCAAGGCGAGGACCTTAACCGCTGTGCCATCATGCCGGGTGCTGGATTTGCTTCTTTTTTTTAAAGCTTTATTTTGATTGGAAAGGTGGAGAGACAGAAGGAGAGACGAGACCAAGAAGGAGAGACAGACAGAGAAAGAAAAAGGAGAGACAAAGAAAGAAGGAGAGACAGAGGAAGAAAGATCTTCCATCCGATGACTCACTCCCCCAAGTGGGCACCTCTTTCACTGACACAGGAGAGGGTATCCCAAGTGTCCTAACCTCCACACAAAATCCCTCCAGGGTCATGAGTCTATGACCTGTTACCCAAGGCCGGTGTCTCAGGTTTAAGATGTATGTTCCCCCACCCCCCAAGTGAGCACGGTCAAAGCCAGAAGCCTCTTCCAGGTCTCCCACGCGGGTGCAGGGTCCCAAAGCCCTGGGCCGTGCTCAACTGCTTTCCCGGACACAGGCAGGGAACTGGATGGGAAGCAGGAGCTGCCGGGATTAGAACTGGCGCCCATCTGGGATCCCGGGCAAGGGCCTTAACCACTGCGCCATCACGCCAGGCGCTGGATTTACTTCTTTTTTTTTAAGCTTTATTTTTTTTGGAAAGGTGGAGAGACAGCGAGGAAGATCTTCTCACTCCCGAAGTGAGCACGGAAGCCAGGAGCCTCTTCCGGGTCTCCCACAGGGTGCAGGGTCCCAAAGCTTTGGGCCGTCCTTGACTGCTTTCCTGGGCCACAGGCAGGAAGCTGGATGGGAAGCAGGAGCTGCCGGGATTAGAACCAGTGCCCATATGGGATCCCGGGCATGCAAGGCGAGGACCTTAACCACTGCGCCATCACGCCAGGCGCTGGATTTGCTTAATTGTACTTTGTGGTGTAACGTTCCATAGGCTGTCCTTAGATCAGTACCAGGCGGGCTTAATGGCTGTAGCTTTGCAGGAGTTGATGGAAAATGCCATACATTTGAGGCTGTGTTTTATTTCAACCAAGATCCATCCTGTCCCTTTGAACTTGGCAAATTCCCCAGCTAGATGGAGCCACTAGTTGAGACACAGCCGCGCCTCGTGTCTTCTTGCTCTTTAGGGGAGCTGCCGGCTTGCTGAGTACCGTATTAGCTTGAGGTTTCTCATAGGATTTTTGGAGAGCGTTTACTCGTCTGTTAAGACGCTCCCCTGCTTCTACTCTGTATTACTGAGTGTACTACCTTACTGTTTTGCATTAAATCAACGACCTCTGGGGTAAGCCCCACTGCGTCACTGCAGAGTGCAACTGAGCAGAAATTACAGGTTACATTTTTGAAAATCAAATGTGAAGGCGGTAGTTTCAAAGAGATACGTAAATACTTGTGGTTACAGTCCGCCACGAAGAGCTGCTTCACCTCCAAGGCACGCTCTGTGGGGGGTGGTCACTGTTGAAAAGGAAGTTCTTTAAGATGTATAAATATGGTCAACTTCTCTGGAAGGGTACCACCACTTCAGTTTGTAGTGAAAGTGATGGAGGCAGAGAACATGTGTCACTTTGGCTGGTTTGGGATGCTAGCCACCCTGTGGACAGGAAATGGTATGGCATGTTTCTGCATTACAAGTTAACTGCTTCATTCATTAGAGAGAGCAATCATTTATGGTAAAAAGTTTATTTCAGTAACATTGTAAGGCAACAACAAATCTTCAACAAGGCAGCAAACCAGGATCAGACAGTCTGCTTCCCTCCAGCTTCCCGGGGCGGGGACGGCTGGAGGCATCCTGGCTAACTGTGGAAGCACTCCATGCGACAGTCATTCTTAGCTCAACAGAAGGAAAAAGCACTTAAATCATAATTCTTCATATTTTCCCTGAAAGTGTACTGTGCTACTTGAATTTAACTCTGTAGAAAATAATGCATTAGTTAGAGCTGGGCAAGACCCTCGGGGAAGGTGTTCCGATGTTCCGATGGTGTGCTTCCTAATGGTGCAGTAACGCTATGCTGATTATGACGACCTGTTTCGGGCGCTAAAGACAACTGGCCAGTGTATTAACAAGCCCTGAGACTGCTTAGCAGCTTGTTACTGACTATACAGCATCCAAACTACCATAATGCTGAGGAGGAAAGTACCCCCGAGGACAGCCGTGACCCCTGCTGAGGAGTCCCAGCATCCTTTCCCAAGGAGGCCACGCAGGCAGCAGCTCTCACAGAAGGTCCTCAAGGTGAGATGGGGGGTGGCTTTCCTACGTACTAATTTCTAGTGATTATGTTAGCCACGGGGCAGTGTGCCTGTCTGCAAATTCATTGGTCTCTTTCCTTTCCCTTACAAGTGTGAGTCTAAGCCCTCAACTGTGCTAACGGTTACAAACAAGACCCGGCAGGAGAGGAGCACAAGCCAGACACCTGAAACACCTGAAACAGCACAGCCTGTCTACCAGACAGTGACTGCCGCAGCCCAGGCTCCAGCGGGCACATCCCGGCCCTGCGCCCTTGCCCCTGGCGCCCTGAGGGCGCGCTGCAACGCCTGGACTCCCAGGAGATGCCAACTTTGTTTTCCCCCTTTTGGCTGTGCCTTTTTTCTCACCTATCTCCTGGCCTGTCGTTTCATAGAATTTATCCAGAAAGCTCAGCAGTTTACCACTGACGTCATAGCTAGAGCCCAGATCAGCGTGTGTCGCATGCCCATCTTCCCCGTCAGTGACGACACAAGCACTGGGCACGGTTGAGAACAAAAGGCCCCAATTCAGCCAGGACATCATGTCCTAAAGGATTAACCTTGTAAAATAGAAGACTCCCACGAGAAAAAAAAATAATACTTATAAAATCCCCACCTTCCCCCTTCCACTCTGCTCTACCCCATGGTAACCAGAGCGGCAGGTCAGTGCTGAGGAAGTTAAGGACTTGCACAGAAAATAATTTGGAACCTAAAAAGTCTGCAAGAATCCCTAGGGAAGTGGAGCACATTTCAGAGGGAAAGAGTCCGTTTCGGGGACCCCTTGTCAACTTGTGGTGACCCCAGCCTGCTCCCCTCGGGGCCAGGTGGCTCAGCACAGGCTGGGGCCTAAAGTCCACTGCGTGGCCCAGTGTCCCATCTGCAGGACTGTCCCTTCCCAGGGCCCCCCAGTTAGACCTCGAGAGCTGCTTCCCCTGAGGCAGCACGCGGGCTGGCTAGGACTTCTGTCTCCTTAAGGATGGCCTCAGTTTATGTCCTTGATCCTGGAGGAGTGGCTACTGCGGTGGTCATGGGCTTCTGTCCTGAAGGTCACAGAATGACAGTGGCGATGCCCGCTTGTGCTTAAGTGCCAGAGGACTGGCAGTGTCAAGTGTCAGCAGGCCATGTATGTCCCACAGCTTAACCATTGCAGTGTTGGGCCCTGAAAAGTGCTAACCGAAGTTCTTCCAACATTTCTCCATTAAAATTCAGTGACTTGAGTTACAAACATCCACGTGACCCAGGGAGAGACTGTGTCACAGGAATTATCCACTGGCCACATGCTTCACGCTCAGTCACAAGATCAAAACACATAGACACTGTAGGTGCACACCCAGGCGGAGGGGAACGCCCAGTCTGGAAACTTCTCCTTCAGGGCGTCCAGTGCTGGCGATCTCTTGTCCTCCCCGGAGAGATAGTGGGCGGCGATGGCCACAGTGACCATGCCTTCAGGCTGGTCCGCCGAGCCCTGCCAGGAGAGAAACGGGCAGCTCTCTTAGCACGCCAACAGCAAAACCCGTGGATGCTCGCTAGGGCCACCTGGGAGCCTGGCCAAGAAAATTCCCACCTGCACTTCTATCCAGAACTGCCACGCGGAAGCCTGGAGTCCGTGGGAGTAGAAGACAAAGTAGTCCCCCCCTTTACTTGTGACCGGGGTGCCATTGCCCAGAGACCACTGCGAGAGGGTGGACCCCTTGTGAGCGCGCACGTAGAATGACATGTGGCTGGGTCCTGAAAGACAGCAGGAAGGAAGAAGAGTTAGTCTTGTAAGAATTATCTGAAAAAGCAACCAAGCCACCCAAGGCTCAGACTGTTGTAGCACGTTATGCCTGAGCACTTCAGAAAGCTTGCAGGAAAGCGATACAATTCAGATTTTTTAAGAAAATGCATAATTTCTCATACACGTTTTCCATGAAAATAACCTTACTACTTCCTGTCTTTCCCTCTTGTTTTACTTGAAAATTGTTTAAAAATAAATGTTTTAATTATACTTCCCACAAAGTTTTCTGAAGTCTCTCCATACCTTCTGCATTCCTGTGGTACAGGCTCAACGCCCAAAGTGATGAGAGAGCCGCAACGGGGAAGGATGGGACGCCAAATGAGAAAGCCTAATTAGGTCACCGCCCCGGTGCTCGGCTGCTCACAGCATTCGGTGTGGGGGCATAGCAGGTGGACAAAGCTGCCGCCTGTGGCACCAGAATCCTGGTTCAGGTTCCAGACACTTCCCTCCTGACCCAGTTTCCAGCTAACACACCTGGGAAGGAGCAGAAGCTGGCCAGCTCAGCCATCCAGGTAGCGAACCAGAGAATGGAAGATGTCTTTCAAATAAGACTAGTCCAAGTATCAGTCATGAAAAACTAGATAAATCTAAACCCACTCAGAAGTGAGTGAGTTAGGTTTATTTAGTTTTTAAAATAGCTTACCAATCTGACAAACTTTTTATTGAATTAAAGGTATTAAGTGTTTCAACAACGTCGAAATAGTTTTGGTAAAAGCCTGATAAGCCAAAGAAATTTTTTTTTCAAGAAAAACATATTCAAATGGGCATTTTAAAATTAGTCGGTTAAAAACTATCTTTGCACCATGTAACGTGTTTTATGAAACAGAACTAGACAAGATGGGTGACATTCCAACACCCCAATAAAACATACTGGTATTCTACTCTCAGTAAAAAAATCAACCACAATGACACA